CCCATACAATTATATCGTGTTATTAATTTAATGAGTCAGAAATTTGGTTCTTCTCATTGTGTTGATAGTGAATTTGATTTCATATCTTCTGCTTAATTTTTTATATCATATTTTGGCACAATCCATTATTGTTGTCATCTAGATAATTGTCATACATGAAATGTTTATGCGATTTAAAAGATGCAAATGAAACAATACCAAACGTCCAAAGCTTTAGTCAAAGTTTTTTGTTCATAAATTCTTTTTTTAGCAATATATACTTCAATTTCAAATTCAAAGAAAGAATAACAATATCTAGAATTCTAAATAAAGTGATCTATGTCAATACTTTTCCAATATAAAATTGAAAAAAGAACTAATGGAAGAAAAAAAAAAATGGGTAGGTTAAATGGGCCCAATTTTCGGTACATCATGCTTGCTTTGTTAAAAAAAGAAAACAAGCATGAAGAATGTATTGAAACTAAAATGTTGAAAAAAAAAACTTTTGTTATTGGTAAGATATACGTGCTAAACTTTTTTTTAAAGTTATAATCATTATTAAATATTACATTGATGCAATCAATTGAATAATTAATTATTACATCATGATTAAGTTACAATTGTTAAATAATCAACTAACAAATGATAATATGACTATTCAACCAAACCCATACACAATGAGGACTTAACCTAAGACTTAAAGGTTCTAAGGTCTTTTTACCACTAAGTCAAGACTCATCGACAATTAGAGATGAGAAACAATTAGTATAATATCATTTTTTTTTTTTTTAAGAATTAGGAATCGAACAAAAAGCAAGTTGGGTTTTTTTTAGGTTAAATCAAAGTTAAAATTTAGGTAGCATCACCCTAATCCAAGTATATATAAAAAATATATTTTTTATTATTTATATTAATTATATATATATTAATATTAATAAAAAATTATTTAATATTTTAATTTAAAATATTAACTTAATAAAAATACTATATTTATATATAATTAAAATATAATTTATATTAAAAATAATATTTTATGAATATTATACTAAATTAAAATTATTAAATTAATTTTAGGTTAATTACGGTTTATAAATATATGGATCAAGTCTAATCGAATATGAAAAAAATAGTATTTTGATGTTAAATCGAATCGAAATTTGATATAAATATTAAGAGTTGGATCAAAATTTGGGTGAGCAAAAATCTAACTCGATTCAATATTTTGCCATCCCTAATTATTGTTTATCCTTGTGTTTGTTAAGTGTTTGCTCTAAACACACTTAAAAAGTATAAAATGTTGAATTTAGAATCTTTACTTTTTAGAAACAAAAATAAGTCTTTGATAAGAAAAGTTTTTTAATAATATAGAAAAATTCAATTGTTTTTCAAAATGACGTCAAATGGAATAGGAGGATTAATTCAATTGATTTATATAATTATTTTTAAAATATAACATCAAATATGTTTAATATTCAAATTTTAACACTTACAATTTTTTTTTAACTATTCTTAGATGACGACATGATTTCTTACATTAATTAAAAAAAAGTGACATTCCAACATATTCTCTTGATCTATATGGCTTTTGGGTCATGGATGAACTTTCTTGTTAGTTTCTTAAAGTAGGTAATGTGAAACTGAAGGCCAATAGACTTATTCAGGTAATCGACAAGGAATTTAATGGAGCAGAGGCGTGAATGAATTTCCTATTCAATCAATTTGAATTTTGAAGTCATACGTCTGCAAATTAAAATGGGAGTAGATAAAGATTAAAGTGGACTGGAAATTTAATTATTTATTTTTTTAATGATCTTTGCTTTGAGGGAATAGTGACATTAAGTTAGGCACTCAATCCAAAACAATGTGGATTAAACCCAACTATAGTTGCTTTAGCAAATGGGACATGAGATGGACCGATCTTTTTATTTATTAAGACATCTAGTTTCATATATATATATATATTGATTTACAACAAATTGCCAAATAATTGTCATCAAATTCTAAAAGAAAAGAAGATTATCCAATCCCCTAGTAGATGAACATTAGACTACGTAACTTGCCAATACACAAACATTGGACTACTAAATTATGGTCACATCCCCATCACTTCAAAAGTATTTTATGACACAAAAATAGGAGAACACAAAATCCATAGATTTTGTGTATACCATGGTCTATTCTACTTTTATGACCAATATATATATTTGCTGATGTCAATGGTCTACAAGAAAACACTGGATCGTCATAAAATACCTGATAAACTGAAATTTTATTTATTTAAAAAATAAGAATTTGAACTTTGCTTTTAGAGTTCAAAACCATGCGGTAATTATTAAATCAAATTTAATTTTATAAATTTTTTTAAACAACAATTTAAGATTATATGCATTACATTTAAATTTTCAATTGATCACAAATTTGGACACAAACACAAAATTTTAAATTATAGTAAATTTCTTAATAATTAAAAAGCAAGTTCCAATTTTAGATAAATCCAATTATTTTTTTTTTGTAAAAAAAAATTACAATCTAAAAATCAAATAAAAAATTATAACTATTAAAATTTAAATTTCAAATCTATTAAACTGTATTAATCAATTGAATTAAAATCGAAATTCACTTGATCACTTGATGCTCATTTCTATCCTATTTTTAGTACAAAAGCAAATGAAGCATTAAGCCTCAAGTTTGGGATTTGAACTTTCTATACCAATTTCCACTCCACCCTACCTTTTTAGTCAAAATAACAATGCTCGTTTTCATTTGGGAAGATAGAATTTCATCGATTGCGTCCAAAGATTCGATTCAATAATAAATATAATTTTTTTTGAAGAATTTGAATTCAAATTCTCGGCTCTTCAAATTAAAAAAAACGTCCTACCAATTTTAATAAGCTTGTGATTTTGATAGGTAGATCAGTCTTGATTACTCAGACTGTCAAACACAAGATCCTCCGGCCCGTTGGCCAAATCTTGAATACAAATTACATGTGCTGATTTTAAGAGCCTTTTCTTTCTTCCTCATGACCATGAAAAATCTACATCTAAATGATTTTTTTTTTTGCGGCTCAGCATGGACGGTGCAATAGTTTTTTAGTTTGCCCAAAAGTGAAGCTAAAGAAAGGAAAAAAAAAAAAAAAAACCCTTCAAAGAGTCAAATTTGCAATGACTTATTATTATAGATCACTATAAGCCGCTTCAAGCAATTTGCTCTTTTTTCAACGATGATATCTATTCTTTGGTGTTCAAGTTCATTGCATCTCAAAATTTCATCATTTCATCACCGGCCTTTCACTTTCAAGCCATACCTATATTTTATGCCACGTTGTTCACGAAAATGGGGTCGTTTGCCCCTCTTTGAATGAGAGATATATATATTTTTATATAAAATGCTGTAGTTTGAAAAAAAAAATTGAGATTTAAATTTTAAATTTATTAAATACGAATAAATTGAGTTAAATTATGTATTATGAGTGAATGATTATATATGAGTTAAACTTTGTATTATAAATGAGTGATGAATTAACTTAATTAAATGCTGAGATTTGTACTTTGACAAGTGGTATTGATCGGTCTGGGCCATCCGGAAATAGTAACTCAAGTTTTTGCAAGTAAATGATTGTCATTCAAAACCCCATTTCCATTCATGGGTTCATAGCTAGTTTCATTGTGAAACTGGTTTAAGATAAGCGTCAAAGAAAGGGTAAGCATAGCACCCAATCAAAAGATTGAATTGTCTGGCGGTGGCTTCTAATGGGCATTTATTGTCAAACTTTTCATCGAAAAGTTGCACGCATGAACCAATAACGTTTTGAGGTTATTAACTCCGGAAATCCCGGTATAAAAGTTTCATCTGTACAGCACCCTGGACAAGAAAACAAAAAAAAAGAAAAAAGAAAAAGAGCATAGTAATGAAATTAAGATGGCAAACATCGGCTCCAATACTTCATTTTGAAAATGACTTGTAATCAAGTATTAAAATGATGTTATCTCGAATTTTTTAAAAATATTAAAATTTTATAATTTTATATTTAATTTAAGTCTCTTCATTTATTATAATTAATTTTAAATTAAATATTTAACATAATTTCAAAACTTAAATTATGTTTTATTACTCTTTTCTTTCAAATTTCTCACATGATTAATTTTTATTTTTGTTTCTTTATCCTTCCAAATATGTTGTATTTTTTTTTATTATTAATTAATTTTAAATTGAATACTTAACATAAAACATTTAAAACTTTTTAAAATTGAAAATTTCAAGTTTGTCCTGATTTTTGGAGCTGACAACAACTTCAAATTGCAATGTAACTTAAACATGATATAAAATAATTATTATCTTATCTTATCTATCATCTCATGCACCAAACATTTAAATTAAATACTTAACATAAAGCATTTAAAACTTTTTAAAATTAAAATCTTCAAGTTTGTCCTAATCTTTGGAGTCAGCAACAACTTTAAATTACTCTATAATATAAAATAATTATCATCTTATCTTATCTATCATCTTATGAAATATTATCTTAAAAACTAATGGGAACAAATAAGAACACAAATGGCAGATTAAGCTGAAAGTCGTTTTCAGGTTTTAGTTTAAAAGAAATACCTTCCGGATCATCTGGAGATCGAAGCTAAAACAGCCTGGAAAGTGTAAAGCACCCACACTTTTAAACACATTTTCAGCTATAATTTCTGACCAAGGATAGCTACAAATCCTGCAGCCATTTCAGAATTTTACAAGGCCCTACAATAAAGTGAACAAAGCCAGAAAGCAAGGATTTTACCAATTAAATCTAATTCCAGATCCAAATTAGAACCAACCTCTTTTGATTTAAAGCATTATGGTTTCTAAAACTTCAGTTTATTAACTGAACCAAAATAAATTAAGAGAATGAATTAGCATTAACCAACATATAATTAAGATTTTTGAATGCAAAGTTTAACTCAATTGATTCATGCAACAAGTACCCAAAAAAAATCTAAAGTTCAAATTCCAACATCTACAATCTCTTCCCTAATTCTCATGCTATATCCTCCTCAGTAGGCTTCATTTAGAATGTTTAACCTGCCTGCATGAATTTTTTGTAATTTCACGAGTTATAGTGTATGAAGACGAAAATAATCCTTTTCATACACTATCATATATCTTGAAACAATAACTGTACTAACTGTATCAGTTTTGCCACTAATGGAAAGGCCACAAGGAGTGTGCTTATCAGAAACTAGTTAACATGATACATACAGCTAAATTGTAGTATACGGCTGGCTGATATTCTTATCAGAGCTGCATATATCAATGATCTGCTGACGGGTGCTGTCACTATCAAAATCATTCTCCACATGCAAAACTCAGTATATATCCACTAGTAGAATGTCCAACCATCAAAATAACAGAAACATGATTCTCTATAGAAATCAAACTAAAAATAGCAAAATAAAACTATAAAGATATTAGACAACCACCATGAATGCAATTTGCTTGTTTGAATCCAATAGAAAGGAGCTGGATACAAGGGAAATTCCCAAACCAATTAAAAACAAAATCCAAAGACAATCCAAAGTTCAACTTAGGACCATTCTCTGTAGTTGACTTTTGGACAATATCCATATCTCACAACATGACAAATCTAAAAGTCTCACCTTGTGTTTTACTTCAGCTAATGTCGAAGTCATAAAGAAATAATCATCAACAGTGTCACACTATTTTCAGTAAAACATTTTCAAATTTGACGGCGTTGGTTATGAACCAACTTAGACGATTTAGTCACAAGATCTAATTCCATTTCTAGCTTTTCCATGACTATTGAAAGAAAAACGAAAAATAAAGAAATTCTCTAGACAGCAATTCCATTTCCAGCTTTTCCATGACAATAGTGCTCAAGACAGTTCATGCTATACTGACCTACAAAAGACCTAAATCAAAGTCGGGAAAGGCAATTCAAGCCTCATCCATAAGAATATGGATAAACTCATACACAAGAGAGATCGTCAACAACATTAATGGTACATGTGACCATCAGATAAAACGCATCAGCGGAAAACAACAGAAACTTTTATATAACATAATGTGAGTTTTCTTCTACAAACAATTACAAGAAGCCTATGTAAAGTTGGCATACTGACTAATTGACAACACCCTGATGAGAAGGAGCCACCTAAGAGCTCATGCAAAAAAGGCTGTATGGAGAAAACATGCTATACTATGCTGTAGTTTCAAAATGGTCAGATCTATACTAGACACTATATTAGGATCCCTTCAATTCCATTTTGAAGGTGATTAATGCTCAAGATATAAGATTACAGCCTTCCACTGCTCTTACCTGTCAACAAGATCTTCACTAAAAGAATTGACAAAAAGGAATTCTAACTTCCACAAGCCATGCACTCTTCTCCATTTTCCAACGAACATACGGTTTGTGCCATACAGGAATTGACATCAAGGCTCACTAGGTTAGCATTTTCCTGTAAGCACAAATTAACCTAAATGTAATATCAATAATGTATACGAGCACATGCCTTTGATAGTTAAATCAGAGAAGAAAATATTTTCTATCATTCTAACTTGATTTTAATCTTTTTAAGTCTAGCATTAAATGTTAAGATGTTCAAAGAAAAGGAAAAGATAAATCCATTGCAAGCAAACTAGATATTAATTTGAAATGTCATGAAACAGGTTCCTTTATTTTCGCATGACTTCTTTTTGATGGTTCCCTTTTGGAATTTCAAACCCACTCACCTAATAAGATGAAACATTAGAGGAAAAAGGAGAATTACATTGTTGAGAACAGAAGTATCAACAGTAAATTTGATGGCATCGGCCGCAGCTCGTGTTCGTAGATAATACATCCCAGTTTTCAGACCCTAGGGAAAAAAAAGATGTCAATCTATATTATCTACACAAAAACAGAAACATAGGAATCAAAAGATGAATATTGCTTTCAAGTAACAAAATTGAAAAAGTTTAATTTCTGCAATGCAATAAATCATGGAATGAGAAAACAGCAGAAACCTCACTAAATAATTTGCAATTTAAATGTCAAATCAAGCATTAGCACTCCCATAGAACAACTGTAAATTTTAAATTTCAAAATGTAGCATGACGAAATGATACCTTGGACCAAGCATAGAAATGCAATGAAGTTAGCTTTCCAGGATCAGGTCGCTCCATGTGAATATTCAAACTCTGACTCTGATCTATATAGCATCCCCGATCAACAGCCATGTCAACCAGGGTCTTTTGCTTGATCTCCCACACAGTCCTGGTATTAGATTCCAATTCTAGCTCAGAATGACAGCAAGATAATTACACAGCAGTTCAAAAAGAAATAGATGTGAACCAAAGGTAAATCTGTACTTGTAGATGGCTTTCAGCTCATCAGGTATTTCTGGTATTTTAGAAACTGAGCCATTGTGGTAGAGTATCTTGGCCTTAAGAGAATGACACCAGAGGCCCATTTCTGTCAAATCATGAAGCAGGTGCCTGTTCACTACAACAAATTCACCACTGAAAATAAGAGGGATTAGCTGCAGAAAGATGCAAAGCCCTGTTTTGAAGAGCCAAATCACTACAAATATGAAAACCTTAAAACTCGGCGACTATAGATGTTGGAGGTGTAAGGCTCAAAGCACTCATTGTTGCCAAGAATCTGGCTGGTTGAAGCAGTTGGCATAGGTGCTAGAAGAAGAGAATTTCTCACTCCATTCTTGGATATCATTTCTCTAAGATCATTCCAATCCCACCGATCCGATGGTATAACACCCCACATGTCTACCTGAAGTATTCCCTAAAGGAAAAGAAGAAAACTTAAGTTTCTACCTTGTAAATCCGTTGTCCTTGTTCATTCCATATCTCTTTCTATGGGCAATATAGCATGCATCAAAGAAGTTTGGCAATTGAAGATTGCATGGTACACCATCTTTTAAATTTATGTAAACCATAATTATACTCACCCAAATGACTCAGCAACAACATGAAGAAGAAATAGTCCAGTACAACTGTCAAAAAAGCTATTTCATTCTACCATGACAGTATATTATAAGAATTACATCTGACCATAGAAACCACATTTCTTTTGTCCATTTTTACATGAAAAAGATCACATAATTATATTTTAAGATATTCCTTTTTTCTTCTTTTGGCCAATGAAAGAATAAGAGATTTGATTTAATGTTTTATTTTATAGACAAAAAAAATTCCTGAAATGCAACTCATCCAGAGTTTGTACAGCAAATGATCCACAAAAGCTGAATCATTCACTAGGAAAAACTGAAACTATGGCATTCTATAAGCTATCTTAAAACTGTTGGAAATTACATGTAAGGTAAATACCTTGCTCACAGGACTCCCACTATATGTTTTATAAGGGTCATCTTTTCCAGCCAACTGAGAAGAAGCTTTCAATGCATGGTAATAGATGGTCTCAAATATATCCTTATTTAGCTGTTGAGCCTGTATTCAACAAAGAAAGACTTAAATCCAGCTAAATCTATTACCAAAGGCAAATCAAATAAATCAGAGCAACCTCTGGAGAATCAAATGGCATGCCAAGCAGGATGAAAGCATCAGCTAGACCCTGAACTCCTATACCAATGGGTCTATGAAGTGCATTTGACCTCCTTGCACTTTCATTTGGGTAATAATTGACATCAATGATTCTATTAAGATTTGCAGTAACAGTTGCGGTAACCTATTAGAGAAACGATTAAAAAAAAAAAAAAGCCATTTCAGAAGTTCAATTCTTCCTGACATAAAGGAAGGATAAGTTACATGGAGACAGCAAATAAAGGTTTTTTTTTTTTTCAATCAAAACAATTATACACCAAGCCCATTGAAACAAATATGCATGGATTTGCTTCTTATTTAGCTTTTACATGTCACAACCACTTTTATACAGAGAGTGCAAATGGTCAAAATACCTCTGCTAATTTTTCAAAATCAAAATATCTTTTCTTCCAACCTCTACTGCCGAGAAGCATTGATGAGTGTGAAGCCAAAGGAACTCCCTAAAAGAAACAAAAGGATCAATCTATATACTAAGAGAAATTATTTGACAATAAATAAGATATAAAAGGCCTACCTTTTCCCTGACAAATCTGGGCAGAGCAATAGATGCCAGATTGCATACTGCAGTTTCTGTTGGACTTGAGAACTCAATAACCTCCGTGCACAGATTTGAGGACTTGATAGTGCCTAGATTTTGCTGGTTACTTTTCCTGTTGCAAGAATCCTGTACATGTAAAAATAAGTAAATAACTAAATAAGAGACAGAAATAAAAAATTTCAAAACATCAAATGTAAAAGCAAAGATGCTGTCAGGAGTCCAACATATTAGGTTTCAAAATTAATCCATAAAAGGAAAAAAAAAAAGAATACCTTGAAAAGCATATAAGGAGTCCCTGTTTCAATTTGGGAATTCAGAATCTCAAACCACAGCTTCCTTGCAGGAATAAGCATTCGTGCCTTACCCTGAGCTCATGAGAACAGATATAACCATCAGCCTTGAAAAATACAAGATTAGCTGTCACATTCCAGTGAAAACCACAGCCAATATTGTGAAGGCTAATATCTTGACCTATATGGCAAACGGTCACATTACCTCTTTCTCATATTGGGTATACAATCTTTTAAACTCTTCACCCCAACAATCAGCTAGACCAGGAGCATCAGAAGGACAAAACAAAGACCATTTTCCATCACCTTGAACCCTTTCCATAAAAAGATCAGGAACCCAAAGAGCATAAAATAGATCTCGAGCCCGCCATTCTTCCTGCAAGCAAGAACAAGAGTTTATATATTAAAGCTTGAAGCTTTGGGTAAAAATAATCAGCAGAATTCACATAACTTACCATAGAAGAAAGATACTTTTGGTAAAAATAAATTGCAGAATTCTCATAACTTACCATAAAAGTGGAAAGGAAAAATTATATAGTACCATATTATATCTTATGAAGACATTCAACAGTACCTTTCCATGGTTCTTTCTAAGATCTAGAAACTCGAAGATATCAGCATGCCATGGTTCTAAATATATAGCAAAAGCACCTAAATCAAGGAAAGAAAGTTCGTATCAAAATACAGCAGAACCCAGCAACTGTTGACCATAAGCTAGAAATGATTTTGCATGCATCTAAAATGGAACTATACACGTTATTTGACAGATATACATGACTAGAATAGAATTGATAAGTATAAATATAAACGAATAACTTAGAAGAATGAAACTATGAATAGATACCTTTTCTTTTACCACCTCCTTGGTCAACATAGCGAGCAGTATCATTAAATACTCGGAGCATAGGAATAATTCCATTGGAAATCCCATTTGCTTCAGAATCATAACTCCCTGTGGCATGGATATTATGAATGGAGACACCGATTCCTCCAGCTAATTTGCTAATTACAGCACATTCCTTCAGAGTATCATATATACCATCAATATTGTCATCCTTCATACAAAGTAGGAAACAGCTACTCAACTGCAATATTAAAAGAGAAAAAGCCCCAAGGGTAAATTAAAAAGAAAAAAAAAAGGCAACAATTGCTGATTAACAAACAGATAAGTGACATAACAAGATCATACTTGAGGCTGAGGGGTTCCTGCATTGAAAAGGGTTGGAGTAGAATGAATGAACCAACGTTGGGACATCAAATGGTACGTTTTGATAGCAGAGGCAATATCAACTTTATGGATACCAACAGCAACCCTCATCAACATGTGTTGTGGCCTTTCCACAACTTTGCCATCCATTTTAAGTAAATAAGACCTCTCAAGTGTTTTAAAGCCGAAGTACTCAAAATCAAAATCTCTGTCATATATTATCTCACTGTCCAGTTGTGCAGCATTCTTCAATAAAAATAAGACAACCACTTGTATTAATCACTTCACATACTATTCAACTAGGCACTAAAGAAACATACAAAAGCATTGCAGATCATTGGAGAAATCCAAGTATGATAAGGTAATAGGAAGCGAAAATGCAACTGATATATCTAAATTACAGATATTATGGATAGTTTTGCCAACAAAAAGACGTCAATCGACAAGAGTGAAGAGAACTGCTGAAATGTTAAGATTACCTTCATTATTATTTCATAAACATCATCAGCAATAAGAGAAGCCACCTTTCCAGACTTCTTGTTTATGTAATTATACATGATTTTTACCCTGCATCAAAACCATTCATTGACAACATTGTTTTCAAATAAAAACTACTGAGAACCTTATAACATTCAGTTACAACCAACAAACCCACGTCTCTGAAAACGACTTCTCAGTACTTTTATGTAGATTGGAAACTGCTATTCTTGCCGCCAACTGTTCCTCAATGTCGGTTGAAGCGCACAAAAAAAAATAAAAATCAGAACCAACCCAAATAAAAAGCCTATACAAATGCATTATGAACACTGGTAAAAAAACTTCTTAATTTAATATATTGAAAATTTTACATACAATCAAGGCAAAAATATCTCTTTAAAAGCAACTTAACACGGTAATCAGCAAAAGAAACCAAAAAGGAAAGAAAATGAAGCCCATCAAGCCCTTTAAACCCAGATAGCACAACATAAAAAAAAAAAAAAAAAACTGACCAAAGCATAATCAGGGTGGTTAGCAGTCAAAGCAGCAGCAATTTCAGCGGCTAACTCGGCAAGCTGCGTTGTAGTGACACCTTCACAGACCCCAGAGTAGACCTTCTGAGCCACAAGCACCGGGTCACAGTGGTCTTTGCTAAGCCCGTAACTTAGCTTCTTCAATGTGGCTGTGAGCTTGTCGACATGAACTGGCTCTTGACGCCCATCTCTCTTTATCACGTACATAATTGGCTTGTTTCTTTTTCTTTCAGGAATATTGTCAAATGGGTAATGCTGTAAAAGCTTGTTTGTTAGGGTGATAGTATTTATAGAACAAAATGAAGAGTGTTGGAGAAGGAAGACGCAGTGTTTGGAAGTTTGAATTTGAAACTTTAAATAGTTTTTTGTTTCTCTTTTTTTATTTTACAAGTATTTGATTCGGAAATGTGATGGCCACTTGGTTTTTTTGTGTTTTCTGAAGATTCCCGCCAAATCAGCCGTGACGATATATGAGTTTCGGGTAATTGGGTTGGGTTTGGATTTTTTAATGTTGGCCCAAAGGTGTTATTGCCCTAGTTATTTTCTTACACCAAATTGTGTTTTTAGATAATCTTTCAACATTTTTTTTTGAGAAAATACAGCAAATTTTATTAAAAAAAATCATTTTGTATATAGGAGTATAAAAAAATTATTCTATATCAATTTCATGTTTGATGTATTATATGGCACAAGTGTCTCATTATTTAGTTTAAATAATTATCTTTATTTTATTTATAAAATTATTGTAGACATCCAATTTAGTTCAGACCTGAATTAATTGGACTTGGTCCAAATAGGTAAGCTCAATTTTACTTTTATTTTGTATTTTATATTTTTATTATTTTTATTTTTATTTTTATTTTATATTTTATGTATATATTTTTCTTTGTATCTTATGTATTTATTATTTATTTATTTATTTATTATTACTATTTATTAATATATATATATATCTTTATTTTTTTTTCTTTTTCTTTCTTTTCTGTTAATATTTATATATGTATTTTATTTAGCTAGTTATATATTTATTATTATTTATTCATTTATATATTATAATTTATCTGTTATTATTATTATTTATTTATCTTGTAATATTTTTTATTTATCTTATTATTTTTTTTTCTAATTATCTATTAATATTTTTTTTATTTATCTGATTTTCTTTTTCCTTTTTTTTGGGGTTGAGATTGAATTCTTTTGAAGAATCCTATCGTGAATGAGAATTCAATTAGAATTCAGATTGGATTTAAAGATTAAATCTCCATCCAAAAAGGAATAGGGATTGATCAGAAACTTTTCTGATCAATCCCTATAAATAGGTACTGGAACAGAAAGAAGGGAAGGGAGAAAAGAGTTATTGGCTGAAAAAAAAAGCAAATAGAAGAGGTTTGAAAGTTGAAAAAGGGTTTAGAGGCGTTAGAATAGTTTTAGAATCGATGAAAAATTTTTGGAGATTTTTTTCTGTGAATTTTTTATGAAAATTTCTGAAAATTTTCATATTCCAGTTGAATTTTTCGACGAAAGTTGAATTTTCGGGCGACTATTCTGGCCAAGTTTGAAGTTTTCGGCCAACTGTCCAGTTTCTGTTGAGAATTCCCAAAATTTGATCAACTTTTCGACAACTTCCTGTGAAAAACTCAGATTTCGACGAAAATTTTTAGAATTCGATGAATATTCAACCGAAGTTTTTCGAATTCTAAAGTGAAGGGAGAGAAGAAAGAAGGGAAGAGAGAGAAGAGAAGAAGGGTTCTGCTGAAAAAACGAATGAACCAGCCTTATATACCCTCTCAAAATGATGTCGTTTTTACGTTAAGTAACCTAGAGGATCCATGCGTTTTGCCAAGATTCGACCCGACCCGAGTGTCGACCCGCGTTCGACCCGCATCCCGAGTCGTTAGTCGAGTCGAACCGATACCCCTGAGCCGCTGATCCGAGCCGTTTTTTCTTCCTCAAGTCGAGCTGAGCCGAGCCGTTCCCAGTTTTTTTTTTGTTTCTTTTTATTATTTTTATTTTATTTATTTATTTATTATTATATTAGGATTTTTTTTATTTATTTTCATTTATTTATTATTATTATTATTTATTTTATTTTCTTTAAATAAAATAAAAAAAACATTTTAGGAAAAAGTTGAAAGTATCGATTTTCCTTAAGAATAAATTTTCAAAAAAAGATTTTTTTGAGGAAAAGTTGAAAGTATCAATTTTCCTTGAAATTAAAAGTTTTCAAAAAATATTTTTAGGAAAAAGTTGAAAGTATCAATTTTTCTTAAGAATAAATTTTCAAAAAAAGATTTTTTTTGAGAAAAAGTTGAAAGTATTGATTTTCCTTAAGAATAAATTTTTAAAAAAAGTTTTTTTTAAGGAAAAGTTGAAAGTATCAATTTTTCTTAAGAATAAATTTTCAAAAAAAGGTTTTTTTTTTTTTTTTAGGAAAAGTTGAAAGTATCAATTTTCCTCGAAATTAAAGTTTCAAAAGAATATTTTTGGAAAAAAGTTGAAAGTATCAATTTTTCCTTGTACAAAAGTAATCATTTTTTTTCCTTTAAATTTTTCTTAATGTTAAATAATCCGACAATGGAGCCTCTGCAAGTGAAACAGTAGTTTTCTTGCATACTCTTGAGGTGAGGAAATTTTTTTCAATTTTCTGCTAAAAGTATTAGAGTCAATTGAGAATAGTTTTTAATAACTAATTACTTGGTAAATTTTTAAGGCTTATTGGATAACACAAAATTAAGCTGGTATTATCTTTTGATGGGCATTGTGAGGGTGCTATAACCTTCCTCACACGTAACTGAACTCCCGAACCCTGTTCTGGTTAGTAGATCCGAACTTATTCTTTTAGGGACCTTTAAACTTAGGTGTTCTCTGAAAGGATAGATTCTTTAGGTGGTCAATCACACCTAGATAAAAAAGATTGGTGGCGACTCTTAAAAGTCAATGTCTAGCGATAGATCCCTGGATCTAGACGTTATAACAATTATTATGATTTAATAATTATCATGTGTTGAAATTCTATAGGTCAATAGAGAGATTTTATTTTTTATAATAATTGCATACTATGGAATATGTGAATTAAGAGCACTATTTTATAAACTATAATGTAGACTCGTGCTATGCTATGAAGAGTCTATATAGATTCATAAAAATATATATATTTTTTAATGTCAAATTCAAAAAATAATAGAATATAAGAAAACATTTATACTTAAAACTAAGATAATTCAAGATTTAAGACTAAATAATTTTGGATTTATCAATTCAAGAATCCTATAAACTTTAAATCATACCATTCACCTACCTTTACAAATTCTAAATCTATATAGATTTAAGACTATACAACTTTGAATCTTTTCATTCAGGAGACTACATAACTATAGATTTATCAATTCAAGAATTCTACAGACTACACAATTATAGATTTATCAATTTAAGAATTCTACAAACTTTTAATTAAACTATTCACTTATATTACTCTACAAATTCTTGATCTATCAAGATTTGAGACAACACAACTCTAGATCTTTCCATTCAAGAACTATACATTGCTTAAATACCTCATCTTTTAGAATCCCTTCCAGAATAGTGGCTCTCCTAGCTGTGCTTTACATTGCAAACCAATAAGATGAAGAAAAATCACTGACATTATTTGAAAAGGTAAATCAAATAACTTAAGACGACCTATTTAACAATATTCAACATTGGATAATAGTCTTTTTCAACAAACAACATAACCATATCCAAAATTTACTTATGTGTATGCAATAAAATCATATAAAAGCCTAACAAAAGCAATACAAAAAGACCACTAAATTAAGTTTTTTAAAAATCTCATTAGAATTGAAGTGATACGATTCCAATGAGAGAAATAAAGAATGAGCCATATGAAACAGCCAATGAATTATTAAAAAGAAAGAAGAAAGCCAAGAAGCCATCAAAAATAAGAGAATGTTTCATGTTTCTGCATTAGAGCGCATAAAATATACAATAATTGGAAAAGCATAACTATTGAACAAAATGCTGAAGCTTATATTATATATATACTATACAAGAAAGTTATTTTCTTCAAAGCAGTCTACAAAATAATAAAGATTTCATAAAAGGGAGAAAGAAGAAAGAATGTACTTAAAGCTTGTGGTAGAGATCACAAGGAAATAGTGATAGGCTTGTGAAGCGATTCTTTTAGGCATATATCAAAATAAGGCAATTATATTATTTCGAATTTGGTTAATTGAGATATCTAAAAATAATATAATATATATTTCATTCAAACATTCATATTATAATTATTTTTCATGGATATTTAAACTTCAGGTTGATGCAAGCAAATAAGTATTTTAGATTATGAAAGAAGAATCATTTTAAGCAAACTTAATAAATGGTAAACCTTTTGTCCAATATATATAACCTATGTCTACTCTTCTTTGATTTTTTTCTCCGAAACATTCCCATACCATTGAAATTTGATGTAGCTTTGAGCAATTATACTCATTATCTTAATATGTTGCTTTTAACACCCACTAAAATCCTTCTAGGTGTGAATTACCTCTGGCTACTTTGCATGGCACAGTAACAATGCCGAAATGAACTATTACTTTCACAAAAAAAAAGTTATATTAACACACATAAATTTGTTTTAAGAAAAAACCTCATATACTGTAGCTTTATGGGAATATTTTTATATTTACTATACACATTTTCATTATTTTTAGACACCTTATTATATGTCAACAAAAGGTATTTGTACATATAGTTTCTAGGCCCTACTAAGAATCAAACAATAGACAATCATGAAAAATTTATTAATGCACACTATCACTTTTTACTTTATTGACTTTAAATGTTTCTATAAGTTTTAACCTTTAATTCATTCTTATAAACAGATTAAGGTATCCCATAATTAGGCCATATTATTCACCATGATATATGGCCATAGACAACATAATACATAGAGACAAATTTTAATGCCTGACATATCATTGTAGTGAAATGTCATTGAAGCAGTAGTGAGGCAAATTAAATGGAAGAGCTACACTCAAGAAATTCTTATCATGAAGTTCCTTCTACTTGCTACAAGTCCAAGTTATACAACAAACGTAGTCATGCAAAAGAAACAACATAAAAAAAATAGCATTCATCAAATGAAGCTTTCAAGTACAAACATAGTTGCAACATCAACTTAAATCCTATCACATAAGACTCTAATGATGAAAGTTTATCACAGTGTTAAATGGCTTAGCAATTGCTGTAATTTGGTTCAACTTAGCCTTTACTTTAGTCAATCTTCCTTAACTCCAAACCATTTAAGAAAGTGATAATAAAGCAACAAATGTCATATGGTTGTTCAAAGACCTTCTTTTGGCCTTTTTAGAGGGAAATAGTATATATGATAACCTATACACGACAATAAGACATTTAGGCACAAGATAATCAAAGAATCACAATAAAAAACATAAATAAGTTGAACCAAACTTATTG